GCCCAAGTAGGTAAGATAAATGAGCAAAGCAGATTCAGCACAAGGAACTGGAGAACACGTGTCTCATCTATTTCGGTAGGAATAAGACGGATCTCCTCCCCCCCCCAGAAATGCCAGAAATCCAGATTTTAAAGTGAAATTCTGATATTTAACTGTTGACAACCAATTCCAAACAGTTTTAAAAGAAAGCGTAGATCACGCAGAATTGACGCACACAGGCTTCATTTGGTTCTACAGCCACCAGTTTGTAACCTAAACCAAACCAGTTCAATAAATCCAACACAACTCTTCCCTCTGTGCTGTCCTGCCTCTGTCCCAGTCAGAGCCTTCTCCTCCCAGACTCTGGGCCATAACCTCTCCCTTTCCTTTCCATTGTCTCTTTCTTTTCCAATCTTCATCACTCCTAACAGACGGAAACTGAGATCCACACATTAAATCTTTCTGTGGCCCAGGCTGTATCCCTGGACAGGCTTATACACTGGGGAAAATACAGGTTATAAATTGTAACCTGAAGCTGCAGCTCCATGATGTCAACAACTGGTTGGTTTAGTCGAATTGGGGAGGAAAAATCAGTCAAGCTCATAATTTCGTATTACCCAGACTTGACCAAGCAACACATGGGAGCCGTCATTTAATTTCTGCTTCTGTTTTGCTTGCTTTTCAAAATCCACTGCATGTTAGAATTATCTCTGGTGTTATTTAAAAAAAAAAATTCCCAACTAAATCTGCATCTCTGGAAATGGAGTCCGGGCACTGGCAACTTTTAAAAGACCCCTGGTGAGTCAATGTGACGCCCAAGTTGAGAATCACTAATCATGATCCATCTCCTAAACCTGCAGATTAGCAGTGTGTGTATCTCTGGCTGATTACCACCTTGAAGAGTTCTTTTAACTTGTTCAAGGATGTGCTCAGCTCTGTTCTCATTGTATCTTCATGACTCTGTGGGTGAGGCAGCTCGGACACTATTATTAGCATTGGACAGGTGAGACAGTGAGGCATAAATAAATGTCAACTGAGTTGCCCAAGTGGACCCGGCTAGTTATTGGCAAAGACGCACTGTCACTTCATCAAGAGTTCCTTGATTGCAAGCCGCATGCTTGCAAAGTTTCCCCAAACTATGGTGCTTCCCAGGACTGAATTCCTTTAAGCTTAGTACGTAACCCTAACATGCAGGTGGTCGGTAGAAAACTGATGAATCAAAATGTTACCAAAATAACAATTCTTTTTAACATATATGTATTTTAACAATGTTCTTAAAAGACTCAATTCTAGGGTCAGTGTTCTGGGGTGTCTTTCTCTGAAGTCTACAATGCTATTTGGAATATGCTTATTCCCCTTACCTCCAGATCACCTTTCAAAGATTCTCCCAGAGACTGAAAATATTCAAGTAGTTTCCATTAAGATATTTTTTCAGAAAAGTTCTCTTAAATGATTAAATATTCACTAAATATTAGAGGTAAGAGGAACTTTGCTGGTCATTTTTTCCCCCATTCCCTCTGACAGATGAGAAGCTGAGGTCCCTTTTCATCTGATATGTATGGAGCGCTGACACTGTGCATCCACTACCTTCATTAAACCTTCAGGATAACTCCATAAGATGGGACCTGCTACCATCACCACCACCATCATCATCTCATGATTTCCGTCTAACAAGTGGACAAAAACTGAGGCTCAGACACAACTTGCCCAAGGTATGGTACTTACATCTGACTCAAAGCCCATGTCCTTAGCCCCTACCTTCCATCACCTGGACTGACAATAGTGCAGAAAGTGAAAGATAAACAAATCTTTATGAAAATGCTAAGAGATGATCAGTGAACACTTCTTTGAAGAGGTAAAAAAGTGGCATTTGAGCTAAGCCTTCACAAATATATAGCATTTCAGTAGGCATTCTAGTCTGGAATCAACATCAAGATTGAGACAGAAAAGTGATAGGGCGAAGTGGGAGAAGGAGGTGGAAAGAAGTGAGGACAGATTGTGGAGGGTCCTGGGAGCCTGGCTAAGGAATTTAGACTTTAACTCAGGCAATTGGAACCCACTGATGACTTTTAGAAGCAAGTTTACTTTAAAATGCAAACTGAGTTTTAGAAATAGAGACCTCATGGAAGTGTTGAGATTGAATTAGGGGAGCAGAGCTCGGTCTAGTGGAGACCAACTGGAAGCCCATTACACCTCCTAGCCAGCAACTTCACTCTTCACTATGCACTGTGCTTGCATCTGCTCCCCTGAGGGCGCCTCCAGGTCTGTTTCATGGATCTTGCATCCCACAGACTGCTGCAACTGCCCTGTCTAGGTCAGGTGACAGAAACCTGAACCTGGGCAGTGGGGATGGAGATGAGAAGACAGGTCTGTGGGGCATTTGCACGGGCCTGGTAACAGCGCAGAAGTGGAGTTGGTAGGGGGCGGGGAATAGCTCAGTGGTAGAGCGCAAGCTTAGCATGCAAGAGGTCCTGGGTTCAATCCTCAGCACCTCTGTTAAAAAAAAGAAAAAGTGGAGAGGAGGTAAGAGAGAAAGAGAAGCAGAGCAGAAAAAGACCCTGACGTTTCAACTTAGAAGAAGGGGACAAATAATGAGACATAGAAAGACAGGGATGGTCAACAGTAGCATAAAGAGGTGAACAAGACATTTTGGCCAAGATCTCAATCCGACAGGGAGCTACCTTGTGCTGGGCATTAGGAGAACAACAATGAGGAAGACTGGTTTTTGCCCTCTAGTTATGACCCAGAGGGAGGAAAAGACATAACTAGCAAGAACCAGGTGCCTGGTCTCCTAGTCTCAGGACCAGTGTTCCCTCCCCCCTCACACAGGCCCTCCTAGAGGGGCATCTTTCTAAGCATCTTCCCGCATCACATGATCCTGTTTTATTTCTTCACTGCAGGAACAAATCTCTGAAACTCATTTATAGGTGCATTTACTGTCTGTTTCCCCCAGGAGAAGGCAAGCCTCACAAAAGCAGGAACTTTATATCTTGTTAGTTGCTACCTGCCCCAGAAGCCCTCAGGAGGAAACAGTATGTTGGGGGAAAAAAGGTTTGAATAAACCTCATTAAGGTTAGGACCTCAAGCCAAAGGAGGTGAGTTTCCCAATGCCTCAGGCGACATACTGAGAATTGAAGTGACTCTGAGGAATAAAGCTATTTTGCGGTTGGGGAGGAAATCAAAATCCAGGGGCCTCCCATGGATCTGCATGGATTTCAGGAATACACACCCGGTGAGAGATGTTTAACAATGAGGCCAGCCAGCCACCTAGCTCAGGTTTTATTTCCGTTGTCCTTCTGACGTCAGAAAAAGCACGAGTTGCAGCACAGTTTCTTCTAGCAAGGTGACAAATTACAGGCTTGCTGGGCTCTGCAGTCAGCAAACCATAGATTTATTCTCTCCTCCCCCTTGTATTAAAAATGTTAAAACCCACGTTAGCGATATCAGATCCCTTTTCAAATGCAAATAAACATCGTTTCCCAGCGCTCGGGTCTTTTTCGCTCTACTACATAAATCACCATGGAGTCGAATGAAAAAGTATGTGATCCCGGTGGCAGTCAGGTTTCCACCGGAGAACCCGTGCTGTAAAAACTGGGTCCGCGCCGCAGAGCGAGACACAAAGGGCTCTCAACTGTAGCACCACCTTCTCAAGCCCAAGACAGCCTGTGAAAGGCACCCGAAACGCCGTGACGCTGGTGCCGCGAAATTCCTTTTGCCGCCATATGCACTTGAACCTTCTCCGACTGCAGTCCAGCTCAGACCCAGGGCTGGGAGACTCTGCAGGGAAGCAGCGCCCAGACAGCCTCCTAACCTGGGGGTCCGGGTGGGTGCTGAGGCGCCCGACGCTCCGGGGGGCGTTTTACGGAGATAGGGGCTCGCACCAGGGCGCAGGTCCCGCCGCGGCGAGGCTAAAGGCCTTTGGGGGGCAGCGTTTAGGGACGCGAGCGCGATGCGGGGGTGGGGAAGGGGTGAGAGTGGAGCCCAGGGCAGTCCGCGCCCGGGCCCCGCGTCCCGCTCAAGCGGTGGCCTTTTGTTCACCAGCTCCAGCGGATCCCAGCTCTCAGAACAGCACTTCTTTCTTTCCCCTTCTTCGTTAGGGAAAGAACCTCTTCGGGCGGGAAAGGGCAGTGAGTCACTGCCAGCAACCTTTAGTAATCCCCCGACTCCTCCCCGCATCCTCCAACTCCTCTCGGTTACTGAGAGCCGGGCAGAGCCAGAGAAGGGCCCGCCAGCGTGCTCCCCGGCCCGCAGCCAGTCTCAGAGACCCGGCCGGCCGCACGCACACCCCCGGGGACATCACATGCTCTCCTCAGGGCCCTGCGGACACAGGAAATTCCCCGCAAATGCCTGGCATTCAAACACTCCCCGGGTACGCAGTCGCGCCCTCACCTCGGCTGCGCTCTCCCCCTTCAGACCCGCGTGGTCCCTGACTCTTGTATAATTGAATCAAATCTGGTACCACATTCTGCCACTAAGAAATCAGACCCCAAAAGTAAGCCACAGCCCACGCAAAGGTGAAATCAGGGGGCTCCGGCGCCTTCTTATACTTCTGAGGGCGATCAGAGGAACCGGGGATCTGGACTTTTCTTTTCTGAAAAGCAAAATCCGAACGCATCCGGCACAGAGGCGCACTCCTTCCTTTCACGGCCGCATGGACGACTTCTGCGTTACCGCCTCCTCTCACATTTAAAACATCCCTTTCCTCCCCGCCGCCGCTCCCTCGGCTTTCCACCGGGCCCGGAAAATCGCCTTACCTCGGGCAGTAAAGGGAAAGGTGGGAAAAGGAGACGTCAAGGTGTCCGCCCTCCCGGGATTTTCCCCGTGAGCTGCAGCCGTGCGATGTCCTTTGTGTCAAGGTCTGGCTCCCTCGGCCGGGAAAAGGTGGCCTCCGTCAGCGAGGGCTGGGCGGGGAGGCTTGGCGTGGCGTGGCGGATTTCCGAGGAAGGTGAAGGGCGGCGACCTTCAGGCGGAGCGGTGTGGCTGTCCCAGCCCGCGCTCTCCTGGCTCTCCTCCTCCTTTCGGGGCCGATTGCATCAGAATCTCCCCCTCTCCACCAACCCCCACCCACACTGTGCTCGCACTTACATCCACCCGCTGGGCCGCAGAGGGTCTCGAATCGCAGTCATTCTTTTACTGGAGGCGCGCGTCGCCCTTGCGCATCCATGGCTCGCGACGGCTTAGCCAGGAAAGTCAGGCTATTCCTCCGCGTCCCGCGCGCCGTCGCCTCCCCTCCTGCGCGCCCTCTCTTTAACCAAAGCTGCGTGTCACTGAGCGATGCCCGTCACATGGTGTCTCTGCCGGCGGCCGCGCCTTGCCTCCTCCCTCTCGCCGCCCGCTGAGGATGCAGCGACCGCGGCTGGCGGAGACTGAGCATCGGGGAAAGAGGGAGGGAGGGAGGGGTTGCGGGGCACGCGTGTGCCGGGCGCGCTGGCGGTGGCACCGGGAGCGGAGGCGCAGCCTGGACACCTGCCCCCACGCCCTCCTGGGGCCCGGCAGCGAGCCCGGAGCCCAGCTGCGGCGGCGGCTGGAGACAGGGAGCCCTCGGGGATGGAGGTGGGGGCGGCTGAGAGGGAGCCGAATTGAGCAGGGGGGCCGAGCGTTGAGGGGCTGGAGGGCGCATTTTGAGGGGGACGCCAGGGCCCGGCAGGGGCGGGCGAGCGCGGGGAGTTGCATTGTGGGAAGGGCGCCGCGGGAGGATGGCCGCAGGAGTGGCTGGTCCGCGCGCAGCCCGGCGAGCCGCTGGCGGCGACGGAGCGGCGTGTCGCCTCCCGGGAACGCACCGAGAGCGCCGGGTTTGGCGGGGAGCGGGCCGAAGTGGCCGGGGCGGCGGCGGGGTGCGCGGGCACCTCTGGAAACCCTTTGTCCGTAACCCGCAGTGGGAGGTGCCTCCCTTCTTCCGGATCCAGCACCCGCAGACCCCGCCAGCTCCCCCTACCCCGAGATCGGTGCAGTGGGGCTCTGTTTGGGGACTGGGTGTGACGCGACCCGAAGGTTTTGCTGAGCTGGGGGCGCACACCTGCCTAGGCGCGAGGCGGCCCGGAGACCCCACGTGACTCCGCCCGGGGCCGGCGCGTCGGGGTTCACTGAGCCGAGCGCCCCAAATCCGGGATTAGCGCGGGGCGAGGGAGCAGGATGGAGGGGAACGGGGCAGCAGGGCCCATTTCCCGTTCTTTCGCTCACTCTTTGTTCCAGGCACAGCCGCCCTCACCAACTGGACACTTCCTTGCAGGGGAGTGTGTTTCCTTAAAATGGCGACAGGAAATCCCACCTGCGCGTCAGCCAATTAGACTGTCAGCGCCGCGCGAATTTGGGGGGTGGAAACTCGAGCCTTTTATTGACAGGCATGGTTCCGTCTCCGTGTTCCATCAAAACAGGAAAGGGAAGGTGAATCATCTTTCAAAAATTAATCTACCTGGAGCATTTCAAGCGGGCAGACCCAGTAGTTTAAGTCATGGAGTGGCTGTGGCTTTTTCATCACCGCTGGAAAAGCGAGAGGACAACGGGACGCTCAGAACTGACGCAAACCCTCGTTCCGTCTAACGGCAGAAAATGGCCTTCGTTAGTTCAACAGTGGCTGTGTGAGAACCCCATTCAGGAGGCCTGCCCTTGAATAAACCTGAGAAACTGAAGGGCAGTGCAAACGGAAGGGCAGCCTCGCTCAGCCAGACCTGCGATCGAATTCTGCCCCTGACACCTACTGCTTCCCGCGCCTGCTTATTCTGTCCTTCATTCTGTTTCCCGATTTATAAAAAAAAGAGGGTTAGTGGTACCCACATCATAGTATTATTCTACAGGTCACCAAAAAGGTGGGTCTTCTCCCCTTTCCTTCCCAGAGGAAGCTAATTTAGAAGGCAATTACTAATTTTAAGCAGCGTGCACCTTGCCCGGCAGAAATAATTCTTATGAACAAGGTAGGAGATCTAAATAGGCAAAGTGGGTGGACGGTGAGCATAACTCCTTAAGCTGGTTGAAATGTTTGCCTTATTAAGTAGAATGTGTATGTTCACCAGTGTTTGGAGAGCCTCCCATCTCAAGCTTATCTTTTGATTACAGTTTTAACCTACTTGCTGATTTCTGTGCACAAAAGACCGCAGTCACCTAGCATTTTTTAAATTGGATTCCATAGTGATAAATTGAGCTTCACTCCTTGCCAGCTACTGTGCTAAGCACTTTACATGTAAATATTATCACATTTAATCCTTTCAACTACTCAATTAGATATTATCCTCTTTGTGTAAACAAGAAAGCGAGTTTACAGAGGCTAAGTTGGCCCTGTTCACTTAAGACAGTAAGTAGTAATAAAAGGGAAAGTGAGGGAAGTGATTCCCGTTCAGGTCTGAATTCAAAGTCCAGGCTCAGGCTTAACCCTGATGCTACAACCACATGCAACTAGACACTTGGGCCTGGCGTGTGGAAGGATCTTCACTACTCTTCTGGGTTTTAGTTGACAGCCTGGAACTGGAGGGTAAACATCAACACGGAGGCTGAAGTGAAGACTATTCCTATGGGGAGAGTTGTGTGGGAAGAGTAAGGGAGTGGTGTCCAGGACAAGTGCCCCTGGTGTGACTGTTCTTCCAGGACTGCTTGTAGGTGAAATGTCCTTTCAGAGGTCCTTTCAGGAGCTCAGCCCTTCACCCCAATTGCTGTGGTCTCACCAGGGGGAAGGGATGTCGTGATGACTCTGCTGTTCACTGTGTGCTTCCTGAGAGACATGCAGCAGGATAAGCACCTTATAGACAATCTCTCATTTAATCCGCACATCATTCCTAAGAGGTGCAGACTATCGAGCCCCTGATTCAGAGGTTGAGGGATTTATTCTAGGTCCACACAGCCGTCATTGGCACATCTAGGTCTTGCGTCCAGGGCTGACCCCAAAGCCAGTTCTCCACGCCTGGCTTCCCTGATGCTGAAACAACCCCCTTTAGAGGACTGGGAGGTAGGACAGGTCCCAGGCCCCTCTGCCTTCGGGTGGGGACCGCCACCCTGTTTCCAGGGAGTCAGCTGGCTCTGTGATAGGTTTGTGGGCCCCCAGGGCATTGTCAGTTGTAGCTAATATTCCTGTGGACCTTCGCAACTGAGCAGACATCCCTAAATGATACTCAGATCGTCAGGACATGTTAACGGCTTTTACGGTGGGCTTACGTCATCAGATTTGTAATTGGCTGGCAGGAGGTCAACAACTCCCACTGACTCTGAACTAATTTAAATTAAAAATCCCAGAGCAGGCCTCTTTGAGAATGTCTGTTGTTTCTGATTTCAGCTCAGGGCAGCTCTGCACGGCCACTTAGTTTTTGATCTGTTAGGGGAGCAAGGAGTCAGGTTCGTTAGGTATGCTGCCTACATGGCAGTACAGTCTCATTCATTCAAGCAAAACCAGAGAAGTAGAGCCAGTGATCAGTCCCAGAAGGTTAACGTCTAATTCACCTGACATTTATGCATCACTGTACGGGCCAACTTGTGTGGACCTCCCTAGCTTGTTACCGATACCCTCACGATGATCGAATGACTCTGTGTCTCCAGAGTATTTGCCACAATGCTTGGTACCTAAATGCATGAAAAATGGTATCTGTGACTATTTTGCGCACTTTGCAGAAATAAGCACGGGGCAGTGAATTTTCAAAGTCCAAATTTATAGGCACCAAGTAGTCTGTTACACTCACTCCATACTGAAACAGCTGTCGAGCCCACTCCCCTACTCCTGTTCCTCCCGCTGTGGGAGTCAGGAGACACAGTGTTTATTAGAGAGTAGTTAGTTCTCTGTGTCAGCTCCAAACCTTACTTTGAAAGTCAGAAAGGGAAGTTTAGGCTACACGTAAGAATGTACTAATCAAAAAGTAGAAGTGTTCCGAAATCAAGTAAAACATTCACATGTATTAATGGTGCCAGCGTAAGTTGGTATAACTTTGTGTGGTAGTAATTTAGTGACTAAAAATGTGGGCTCTGATGAAAAAGAATATCTATATGTAACGGAATCATTATGCTGTTCACCGGAAAGCAACACAATATTCTAAATCAACTATACTTCAGTTTAAAAACAAACAAACACCAACAGAAAAAAAGAATGTAAGCTCTGAAGTCAAATTTTCTTGAGTTCCTATCCTGACTTCATAGCCTACTAGCCCTGTGACCTTGGGCAAGTTACTTACCTTCTGTTTGCGTCAGTTTCCACATCTTCAAAATGGAAATAAACAATAATACCTACCTTAGAGGGTTATGTGAAATATGTATGTTAATATGTATAAACACTTGAAATAATTCACAATATATCTTAGGTATTTAATAAATAATAATAATTATTCCTGGAGAAATAATTTGGCAATAAACAGAAAGAACTTAGATCCCATTGGTGGCAATTCTGGGAATCTGCACCCTAAAATTAAGGTACAAAAATGTTCATGGAAGGTAAGGGCACAGACATTGGAATCAGGCAAGTAAAGGTTAAAACGCATGTTTAAAAGTATTCATTCAAAGCAAGGATAACATAAATTCATAAATGAGAGATCCAAATTAAATACTCAGGTGGCTAGACCAGGGGAGACCTACAAACCCTCCAGAGCCCTGAGAGATACTTTGGGAAACAGAACACAGGGGCGACTGTTCCTTAGTCCTGATCCAATGTGATCATTCTTCCTTTCTTATCAGCTTGGGTGTCCAAAGGCAATATAGTCGGAGAAAGGATCTTCATCCAAGAGTAAGAGAGCCAGAAGCGATAGCCAGGAAGTGATGAAAGGGGAGTGAGGACATAGATAAGAAGATGAGAAAACGAATGACAAGATCAGAAACCAGGAACATCTGAAACAAGTCACAAATGCACGGCACCAGCTGGCTCGGGCCGGGATGAGCACAGGGCACCTCAGGATGCTGGAGGCTCTCACCGGGTGCTGTTTGACGCTGAAGGCTTGCTGGGCAGAAATACAGTTTTTGACTTTTCTGCTGAAAAGGTAGCTTTGGGGAAGAAGGGTTGGTTTTTGCTTTTATTTGTTTTTTCTCTTACTGCTGGGGAAGCAATAAAAGGGGAAGAACCCTATTCATGACTTGAGTAGAGTAACATGCTTTACTAAAATAAGTTTCTGTTCTGAGTAATTGTTCTTAAAATAAGAAATACCCAGTAATTTTCAGTGTTCTTAAAGGATTATTGATTCAGCTACATTTTAGGCATCCAATGCTATTTAATAATCACACATGGGGTAATTTTAAGAAGAGATTTAATAATAGATTTTAGAGTTATATCTACACACACACATATCTGTTTATCTAAGATGGAATACTCA